CGTTGTTGAAAAACAGGGATTCTCAATATTGTCAAAATGGCTATAGTACCCAAAGCAATCTACAGATTCAATGCAATCCCTATCAAGCTACCAACGGCAGCTTTCAGAGAACTAGAGCAAATAATTTCACAATTTGTATGGAAATGCAAAACACCTCGAATAGCCAAAGGAATCTTGAGAAAGAAGAATGGAACTGGAGGAATCAACCTGCCTGACTTCACACTATACCACAAAGCCACAGTCATCAAGACAGTATGGTACTGGCACAAAGACAGAAATATAGATTAATGGAACAGAACAGAAAGCCCAGAGATAAATCCACGAACCTATGGTCACCTTATCTTCGACAAAGGAGGCAAGGATATACAGTGGAAAAAAAGACAACCTCTTTAACAAGCGGTGCTGGGAAAACTGGTCAGCCACCTGGAAAAGAATGAAACGAGAACACTTTCTAACACCATACACAGAAATAAACTCAAAATGGATTAAAGATCTAAATGTTAAGACCAGAAACCATAAAACTCCTAGAGGAGAACACAGGCAAAACACTCTCCGACATAAATCAGAGCAGGATCCCAGAGGATTAGAAACAAAAGCGAAAATTAACAAATGGGACCTAATGAAACTTAAGAGCTTTTGCACGACAAAGAAACTATAAGCGAGGTGAAAGGACAGCCCTCAGATTGGGAGAAAATAACAGCAAACGAAGCAACACACAAAGGATTAATCTCAAACATATACAAGCAACTCCTCCAGCTCAACTCCAGAAAATAAATGACCCAATCAAAAAATGGGCCAAAGAGCTAACCAGACATTTCTCCAAGGAAGACATACAGATGGCTAAAGGACACATGAAAAGATGCTCAACATCACTCATTATCCGAGAAATGCGAATCAAAACCACAATGAGGTACCATTACACGCCAGTCAGGATGGCTGCTATCCAAAAAGTCTACAAGCAATAAATGCTGGAGAGGGTGTGGAGAAAAGGGAACCCTCTTACCCTGTTGGTGGGAATGCAAACTAGTACAGCCACTATGGAAAAGAGTGTGGAGATTTCTTAAAAAACTGGAAAAAGAACTGCCCTAAGATCCAGCAATCCCACTTCTGGGCATACACGCCGAGGAAACCAGATCTGAAAGAGACACGTGCACCCCAATGTTCATCGCAGCACCGTTTATAATAGGCAGGACATGGAAGTAACCTAGATGCCCGTCAGCAGACGAATGGATAAGGCAGCTGTGGTACATATACACCATGGAATCTTACTCAGCCATTAAAAAGAATTCATTTGAATCAGTTCTAAAGAGATGGATGAAACTGGAGCCCGTTATACAGACTGAAGTAAGCCAGAAAGATAAAGACCATTACAGGATACTAACACATATACACGGAATTGAGAAAGATGGTAACGATAACCCTATTTGCAAAACAGAAAAAGACACACAGATGTATAGAACAGACTTTTGGACTCTGTGGGAGAGGGCGCGGGTGGGATGTTTCAAGAGAACAGCATCGAAACATGTATATATAATCTAGGGTGAAAGAGATCACCAGCCCAGGTTGGATGCAGGAGACAAGTGCTCGGACCTGGTGCACTGGGAAGAGCCAAAGGGATCGGGTCGAGACGGAGGTGGGAGGGGGGATCGGGATGGGAAATACATGTAAATCCATGGCTAATTCATGTCAATGTATGACAAAAAAATTTGTAAAGTCATTAGCCTCCAACTAATAAAAATAAATGAAAAAAAAAAACAACAGGGATTCATTGAGCTGCATGGGAGATGAATTCTGTCATTAGAAACTTTGCCACCAGGCTTAAGAAATATATTTAGAACTCATTTCTTTCCGGAAACAGGTTTCAAGATCTCCATAAGAAGTCTTTTATTAAGATAAATCACAGCTTTGTCAGTTTCTCCAGAAGTACCCTATTTTTAATTCCCAAGGAGAATGGCAATAATAAAACTAAATTAACCGAGTAGGTTATTTTCTCTCTAATGGCCCCTGTCTTGATTAAGAGGATTCCGGTCGACGTATTTCCTGGGCTTCCCTGGTGGCTCAGGTGGTAAAGAATCTGTCTGCAATGCAGGAGACCTGGGTTTCATGCCTGGGTTGAGAAGATCGCCTGGAGAAGGGAATGGCCACCTCTTCCAGTATTCTTGCCTAGAGAATTCCACGGACAGAGGAACTGGGAAGGCCACAGTCCATGGAGTCACAAAGAGTCGGACACCGCTGAGCAACTAATACACATATTTTCTTACCGTTTGCTTAGCAGAAGCAATCATTCATAGCATTTTATAGCACTTTCTAAAGAACATTTTGTGCCTTTTTTCTCTTTTGTAAGCTGCACCAGGTCTTGGTTGCCACACATGGGATCTTTCATTGTGGCGTGCAAACTCTTCCTTGCAGTGAATGGGATCTAGTTCACTGACCAGAGATTGAACCCAGGCCCCTGCATTGGGAGCAGCCACTGGATCGCCAGGGAAGCCCTCTAAAGAACTCTTAAAGTGAAACTTTTTGGATGTTCGCAGCAGCTCTGGGCAGTCCTAGTGATGATACTTGTTCTGCACTCTTGAGCCCGTGACCTCCCTGAGGGACACAGGGGCCAAGCGAGCAGATGCTACCCCAGCGCCAGACCGCAGGGCCAGACTGGCAGTGTAAACTCCCTTCCAGTGATGTCCTCTTTTTACTGTTCCTCTGGTCAATTCAGTACTGTTGTCCTTGGAGCATGTGTTTAAAAGGAAATCCTAGATGTGTTCAAACATTACTGCCCACTTTCAGATGGATTGATATCTACCTAGGACTTGTCTATTAAACCCACCTGCCTGAGTACTGTGACTTGATTGGAGTTTTCTTGAAGTCACTCCTGAAGCACTGTGATGGCTTTGTCTAACATTAATAGATTTTTAAAAATGATATGTGTTGGGGAATGGCTATGAAAAAAGGGGAGAATCTGTTGCTACTGCAAACCAATTAAGGAGGCAACTTAAAAAGGAAATCTGAATTGTAACTATGTTTCTATTCCTATAAAATACTGTCCTTACCTTGCAGTCTGTAGTTGATGTGCCCAGACACAGTAGTGGCTCTCGGGTTGCTCTTCTGCCATCTTCCTGTCTCCTTCAGTCCCTGCATGCGTATAGGAACTTCAGTGAGATAATGGGGCATTTAACAGAGATTGTTCTGTGCAATACTGTATTTAGTGTTTCTATTTTAAAGTTTCTAGGATGCTAATTTACATGCAAATAAAATACATAATAAGAGAGTTCTCTGCCTATTGTGTCTATATGACCTAAAAGTAAATGCAAAATATTTATCCCAGAGGGAAAATAAGTTAGAGCGTCTGTGTTCAAAGATTTTTGGAAGTTCTTATCTCAGGCCGAACCGTTGCTGGTGAACAGTGAAAGTCGCTCTGTCATGTCTGACTCTGCAAACGCATGGACTGTACAGTCCATGGAATTCCCCAGGCCAGAATACTAGAGTGGGTAGCCGTTTCCCTTCTCCAGGGGGTCTTTGCAACCCAGGGATCGAACCCAGGTCTCCTGCACTGCAGGTGGATTCCTCACCAGCTGAGCCACCAGGGAAGCCTGAACAGTTCTTGGCAGTTAAGGATTTAACAAATGCTAGAGTGTAAAGACAAAATAATAATTCTGCTACAGTAAAACACACTTTCTTAAGTGCAAATCTTCTCAATGCAGTTTTAGGGAAGAAGTACTTCCCCCTTATGGAAATATCAGTATGTTAATACCTAAGAAGTCCTTTTACGAAAAGTTGCAAAAATTCATATGATGTAGATTAAATGGTGATAAAAATTGAGTTGATCTCAGTGAGGCAGCAGTGAGTGGTGGCGTGAAGTGAGATCTAATTCGCTGCCCAGGAACTGAACCTGGGTAGCCTGAACGAAAACCAGGAATCCTAGCCACCAGACCAGCAAGGGCTAGAGGCTAGAAGCCAAGTTTCCCTGGATCTTTGACCAGTGAAAAATGCATTCATCATGGAGGCAGAATCGCTACATGCAGGTACGACGTTTATTATCAGAGACACAGCACAGCAACACGTGGGAAAGAACACGGAGGAACAGCTGGTCTAGTTCCGACAGAAGCCAAGCAGAGACACACACCTGGAGAGAAAGGTTATGGGCGCCCCCTGGTGAGAAGGAGCACAATAACCACGAGGTGGTGAAGTCCTTTATATAGGCCAGTTCTTCTGGGTCTTTGTCTTCCTTCCTGCCAAGTTTCTGGTTCCTTTCTTCACATCTGACCTATCCTGGGCCTCTGCCCTGGTGTGCACATACCCCTCAGCCAAGATGGATCTCCAAGTGGAGGCTTCTGGGAGAAGCAAGGCTCATCATGGTCTGGCATTTTCGCGGGACTTTTCACCCACAAGGAGCCTCTCTGCACATGTGTTGTGTTTCCCTTCTCCCACAAGGGGGGTGGGGGGAGGGGAGATCTCTTCATCCTTGACTCAAGCAGGGTTTTGTCCCTCTTTGCCCTTGTCATGGCTACTAAAGTGTTCATAAGAGACAGACACTGGCTATTTACCCTCTTTCTGTTGTTACTTCCATTTCACAGGGCAAGCAGGACACTGACTGTAAAGGCTCAACTGGAGCCCAACCATCTCTTGCCTCAAGAAATGTAAACAGGCTAGATGTAAATGCCTAACCTGGAGTCCATCTGTCTCCTCCAGCAACATTATGGGAAGACAAAAGGCGGAAAATTATGCCAATAAGGCACCACATGATGGTGCAAAAAGATGGATATAGACAAGGAAAGAAGGAATAAAAACTAAGCATTATGCTAATGGCAACCATTATGCAAGTTAATGGGGGGTGGGGGGGAACCTAATGGAAAACACTTGCTTTTATGCCATAAACCATCTTTGAATTCAGGTTGAATTGGATTTTTCACGATAAACTTTTCATCACCTCTGCGTTGGCTTGTCGTCTACTTTGTGCAAAAGCCTGGAGCTCCTAACTACTAGGGGGTCTCCCATCCAAGTACTAACTAACCCTGCTTAGTTTCCCCGATCAGAAGACATCTGGCCCGTTCAGGGTGGTATGATCTTAGATGGAGGCGGTTGCCGCCAGGCACCTTTAAAAACCCTGCGCTGCGGCTCCTTTTCGCTCTGATGTGCCGTGTCGAGCCAGCCGGCCGCACCTTTCCACGGGGCGCGCCGGCCAGGGCCGGCAGCCCGGCCGAAGCCTCCCCGTCCCCGCACACCAGTAACCCTGGCCAGCAAACCTGGCCCGGCCCGGGGGCCCGGAGTGTTTCCGGGACCCCGAGCGGCCGGTCGGGCGTGCATGCCTGGGCTTGGGGTTGGGGTGAGGGGCGCGGAGGTCTCGGCGCCCTCCCGCCCTGGGCCTCTCCAGGCCCGCCCACTGTTGGCGCCCCCCCCCCCCCCCCGCCAACTCCCGTTCGTGGCTCAGGGCCACGTGGCCCCAGAGGTGTCTGATTCGGGCCCGCCGCGGACCGCGGCCCTCGGTCCTCTGAGCCTCCCTCGGGCATAGGCGGAGCGCAGCCGGGGCCCTGAGCGCCCATCCTGCCCGGCACCTGCCCGGGGCCCAAACCCAACCGGAGCCACCAGCGCGGTCCACCCGAGTGCCTCAGCCCCGCCCCTTCGCCCTACCTCTGCCCCCCTCCTCGCCCCGCCGCTCGCCAAGCACAGCACCTTCCTGAGGTCCTTAAAAGTCTTCCTTCAAGAGTTCTAAGTAAATTTAAGACAGCATCTACTGGATTTTCACCAACGGCTAAAAAAACAAACAAACCAACAGTTACCTTGATCCATCTTGCCTTAATGTGAGCTGTAACAGTAACCTCAGAGCTGCTGCACTCAATGATTTGATTCATTCCGTTGTTGAAAAACAGGGATTCTCAATATTGTCAAAATGGCTATAGTACCCAAAGCAATCTACAGATTCAATGCAATCCCTATCAAGCTACCAACGGCAGCTTTCAGAGAACTAGAGCAAATAATTTCACAATTTGTATGGAAATGCAAAACACCTCGAATAGCCAAAGGAATCTTGAGAAAGAAGAATGGAACTGGAGGAATCAACCTGCCTGACTTCACACTATACCACAAAGCCACAGTCATCAAGACAGTATGGTACTGGCACAAAGACAGAAATATAGATTAATGGAACAGAACAGAAAGCCCAGAGATAAATCCACGAACCTATGGTCACCTTATCTTCGACAAAGGAGGCAAGGATATACAGTGGAAAAAAAGACAACCTCTTTAACAAGCGGTGCTGGGAAAACTGGTCAGCCACCTGGAAAAGAATGAAACGAGAACACTTTCTAACACCATACACAGAAATAAACTCAAAATGGATTAAAGATCTAAATGTTAAGACCAGAAACCATAAAACTCCTAGAGGAGAACACAGGCAAAACACTCTCCGACATAAATCAGAGCAGGATCCCAGAGGATTAGAAACAAAAGCGAAAATTAACAAATGGGACCTAATGAAACTTAAGAGCTTTTGCACGACAAAGAAACTATAAGCGAGGTGAAAGGACAGCCCTCAGATTGGGAGAAAATAACAGCAAACGAAGCAACACACAAAGGATTAATCTCAAACATATACAAGCAACTCCTCCAGCTCAACTCCAGAAAATAAATGACCCAATCAAAAAATGGGCCAAAGAGCTAACCAGACATTTCTCCAAGGAAGACATACAGATGGCTAAAGGACACATGAAAAGATGCTCAACATCACTCATTATCCGAGAAATGCGAATCAAAACCACAATGAGGTACCATTACACGCCAGTCAGGATGGCTGCTATCCAAAAAGTCTACAAGCAATAAATGCTGGAGAGGGTGTGGAGAAAAGGGAACCCTCTTACCCTGTTGGTGGGAATGCAAACTAGTACAGCCACTATGGAAAAGAGTGTGGAGATTTCTTAAAAAACTGGAAAAAGAACTGCCCTAAGACCAGCAATCCCACTTCTGGGCATACACGCCGAGGAAACCAGATCTGAAAGAGACACGTGCACCCCAATGTTCATCGCAGCACCGTTTATAATAGGCAGGACATGGAAGTAACCTAGATGCCCGTCAGCAGACGAATGGATAAGGCAGCTGTGGTACATATACACCATGGAATCTTACTCAGCCATTAAAAAGAATTCATTTGAATCAGTTCTAAAGAGATGGATGAAACTGGAGCCCGTTATACAGACTGAAGTAAGCCAGAAAGATAAAGACCATTACAGGATACTAACACATATACACGGAATTGAGAAAGATGGTAACGATAACCCTATTTGCAAAACAGAAAAAGACACACAGATGTATAGAACAGACTTTTGGACTCTGTGGGAGAGGGCGCGGGTGGGATGTTTCAAGAGAACAGCATCGAAACATGTATATATAATCTAGGGTGAAAGAGATCACCAGCCCAGGTTGGATGCAGGAGACAAGTGCTCGGACCTGGTGCACTGGGAAGAGCCAAAGGGATCGGGTCGAGACGGAGGTGGGAGGGGGGATCGGGATGGGAAATACATGTAAATCCATGGCTAATTCATGTCAATGTATGACAAAAAAATTTGTAAAGTCATTAGCCTCCAACTAATAAAAATAAATGAAAAAAAAAAACAACAGGGATTCATTGAGCTGCATGGGAGATGAATTCTGTCATTAGAAACTTTGCCACCAGGCTTAAGAAATATATTTAGAACTCATTTCTTTCCGGAAACAGGTTTCAAGATCTCCATAAGAAGTCTTTTATTAAGATAAATCACAGCTTTGTCAGTTTCTCCAGAAGTACCCTATTTTTAATTCCCAAGGAGAATGGCAATAATAAAACTAAATTAACCGAGTAGGTTATTTTCTCTCTAATGGCCCCTGTCTTGATTAAGAGGATTCCGGTCGACGTATTTCCTGGGCTTCCCTGGTGGCTCAGGTGGTAAAGAATCTGTCTGCAATGCAGGAGACCTGGGTTTCATGCCTGGGTTGAGAAGATCGCCTGGAGAAGGGAATGGCCACCTCTTCCAGTATTCTTGCCTAGAGAATTCCACGGACAGAGGAACTGGGAAGGCCACAGTCCATGGAGTCACAAAGAGTCGGACACCGCTGAGCAACTAATACACATATTTTCTTACCATTTGCTTAGCAGAAGCAATCATTCATAGCATTTTATAGCACTTTCTAAAGAACATTTTGTGCCTTTTTTCTCTTTTGTAAGCTGCACCAGGTCTTGGTTGCCACACATGGGATCTTTCATTGTGGCGTGCAAACTCTTCCTTGCAGTGAATGGGATCTAGTTCACTGACCAGAGATTGAACCCAGGCCCCTGCATTGGGAGCAGCCACTGGATCGCCAGGGAAGCCCTCTAAAGAACTCTTAAAGTGAAACTTTTTGGATGTTCGCAGCAGCTCTGGGCAGTCCTAGTGATGATACTTGTTCTGCACTCTTGAGCCCGTGACCTCCCTGAGGGACACAGGGGCCAAGCGAGCAGATGCTACCCCAGCACCAGACCGCAGGGCCAGACTGGCAGTGTAAACTCCCTTCCAGTGATGTCCTCTTTTTACTGTTCCTCTGGTCAATTCAGTACTGTTGTCCTTGGAGCATGTGTTTAAAAGGAAATCCTAGATGTGTTCAAACATTACTGCCCACTTTCAGATGGATTGATATCTACCTAGGACTTGTCTATTAAACCCACCTGCCTGAGTACTGTGACTTGATTGGAGTTTTCTTGAAGTCACTCCTGAAGCACTGTGATGGCTTTGTCTAACATTAATAGATTTTTAAAAATGATATGTGTTGGGGAATGGCTATGAAAAAAGGGGAGAATCTGTTGCTACTGCAAACCAATTAAGGAGGCAACTTAAAAAGGAAATCTGAATTGTAACTATGTTTCTATTCCTATAAAATACTGTCCTTACCTTGCAGTCTGTAGTTGATGTGCCCAGACACAGTAGTGGCTCTCGGGTTGCTCTTCTGCCATCTTCCTGTCTCCTTCAGTCCCTGCATGCGTATAGGAACTTCAGTGAGATAATGGGGCATTTAACAGAGATTGTTCTGTGCAATACTGTATTTAGTGTTTCTATTTTAAAGTTTCTAGGATGCTAATTTACATGCAAATAAAATACATAATAAGAGAGTTCTCTGCCTATTGTGTCTATATGACCTAAAAGTAAATGCAAAATATTTATCCCAGAGGGAAAATAAGTTAGAGCGTCTGTGTTCAAAGATTTTTGGAAGTTCTTATCTCAGGCCGAACCGTTGCTGGTGAACAGTGAAAGTCGCTCTGTCATGTCTGACTCTGCAAACGCATGGACTGTACAGTCCATGGAATTCCCCAGGCCAGAATACTAGAGTGGGTAGCCGTTTCCCTTCTCCAGGGGGTCTTTGCAACCCAGGGATCGAACCCAGGTCTCCTGCACTGCAGGTGGATTCCTCACCAGCTGAGCCACCAGGGAAGCCTGAACAGTTCTTGGCAGTTAAGGATTTAACAAATGCTAGAGTGTAAAGACAAAATAATAATTCTGCTACAGTAAAACACACTTTCTTAAGTGCAAATCTTCTCAATGCAGTTTTAGGGAAGAAGTACTTCCCCCTTATGGAAATATCAGTATGTTAATACCTAAGAAGTCCTTTTACGAAAAGTTGCAAAAATTCATATGATGTAGATTAAATGGTGATAAAAATTGAGTTGATCTCAGTGAGGCAGCAGTGAGTGGTGGCGTGAAGTGAGATCTAATTCGCTGCCCAGGAACTGAACCTGGGTAGCCTGAACGAAAACCAGGAATCCTAGCCACCAGACCAGCAAGGGCTAGAGGCTAGAAGCCAAGTTTCCCTGGATCTTTGACCAGTGAAAAATGCATTCATCATGGAGGCAGAATCGCTACATGCAGGTACGACGTTTATTATCAGAGACACAGCACAGCAACACGTGGGAAAGAACACGGAGGAACAGCTGGTCTAGTTCCGACAGAAGCCAAGCAGAGACACACACCTGGAGAGAAAGGTTATGGGCGCCCCCTGGTGAGAAGGAGCACAATAACCACGAGGTGGTGAAGTCCTTTATATAGGCCAGTTCTTCTGGGTCTTTGTCTTCCTTCCTGCCAAGTTTCTGGTTCCTTTCTTCACATCTGACCTATCCTGGGCCTCTGCCCTGGTGTGCACATACCCCTCAGCCAAGATGGATCTCCAAGTGGAGGCTTCTGGGAGAAGCAAGGCTCATCATGGTCTGGCATTTTCGCGGGACTTTTCACCCACAAGGAGCCTCTCTGCACATGTGTTGTGTTTCCCTTCTCCCACAAGGGGGGTGGGGGGAGGGGAGATCTCTTCATCCTTGACTCAAGCAGGGTTTTGTCCCTCTTTGCCCTTGTCATGGCTACTAAAGTGTTCATAAGAGACAGACACTGGCTATTTACCCTCTTTCTGTTGTTACTTCCATTTCACAGGGCAAGCAGGACACTGACTGTAAAGGCTCAACTGGAGCCCAACCATCTCTTGCCTCAAGAAATGTAAACAGGCTAGATGTAAATGCCTAACCTGGAGTCCATCTGTCTCCTCCAGCAACATT